TGTTGCGGGAGTTTTATGGAGCCATGTAATGGTTGGGCTGTCAAGGCGGAATCAGGGAGGTGACTTTTCAATGATAAACTTGTAGCCCAATTTAATTCAGATTTCTAGCTTAAGCCAAGTTACCTTGAAATGAGGCATGTGAGAAGGGAGGTATCTAGTTAAACGAAACTGCGCTTATTTCTGGCTCTTTCCCCATCACAAACTTGGGTTAGGATTGTGTCTGTATTTACTATATTATAATAATTGGTCCTGTTCAGTTCTATTTTCTATAATATATCTGGCAGTATATTGTCTTTCTTTCAATCCATTTTCACTATCGCCCTAGATTCAAGGCACCGCATCATCTTTGCGCTGGAACGCCGCAGCTCGGTACAACTAAAACCTGTCTACAGCCCAGAATTCCTGGGGGCGTCAAGGCCAATCCCTCCCGTCCAGCCTCACCAATGGGTAGGATTACAGGTGTGCCACCACAAGCAGCTTCATCTATTGAGCTAAATACGTACATAGACCTTCTATCTATACTCTTTGTCTATACTTTGCCCTCTTTCAATCCATTTCTCCAAACAATAATGAATCTGGCTGTAGAAGAACAAAAAGATCTCAGATTATGTCATCCTTTAAAGCCTTTAGTGGCTTTCACTGGACCGCGAATAAACCAGACTTCTTACGCCTGGGCTTCACCAGTCCGCAATGATCTTGTCTCCTGCCTCCCTTTGCTGACCCTGTCTCTGGGTGCCATTCTCCCGGTCACTCACCACGATCAGCTGGCTCAATCTGGACTTTTGATGTTCTTAGAACATGCCAATGCTCTTTCGCAGCCTGGGACCCAAACAGGTAGTTCTTCTGGGTTGGGAATGCTGTCCCAAACAGCTTCACTTGGTATTCTTTCTTATCCTTTAGGCCTGAGATTAAACATCAGTGCCTCCGTAGGAAACTTTTGGAAGCAAAGGATATGTTTCAATATCTGGATTGGTGGTGATGGTAACACAGTGATATGTTACATTTGTTCAAATGGTGTACATTCAGTTATATGCAGTTTATGTATACCAATTATACCTCAATAAAGACTGAAATGAAAGTATGTTGAGTTTGAAAATTAAAAATAAAAACCAGTGCCTTGGAGAGGCCTTTCCATGATGATTCTAAAGGAATTTGTTTGCTTCTTATCACAGTTTTCTATTTATTTTCTTCATAGCACTTATTGCAATTCTTTTTTTTCTTCTTTCTTTTTTTTTGAGGTGGAGTTTCGCGCTGTAGTTGGCAACTCTGCTCACTTGCAACCTCCATCTCCTGGGTTCAAGTGATTCTCCTGCCTCAGCCTCAGAGTAGCTGGGATTACAGGGGCCTGCCACCACGCCGGCTAATTTTGTTATTTTTGTAGAGACGGGCGGTTTCACCACCGTTGTGTCAGGCCTGGGGTCTCGAACTCTGGATCCTTCAAGGTGATCGCTATCGTTCAAACTCTTGGCCTCAAGTGTTCCTCCTGCTTCAGCTTCCCAAAGCACTGGGATTACAGGCATGAGCCACCACGCCTGGCCTTAGATTGGTATTTTAAAGGCACCAGAAGCAGTAGGGCAAGTTGGGAACTGCAGAGGCCAGACAAGCAATTCTGGCCAGTGACAACTAGAAGTCCAGTCCTATAGCCCCTGATGGTAAAGGAGAATTTTTAAATAAAATCTACTCCTTCAAACAGTGACCACAGGGGCTATACAAAAAAAGAGGTCTGGTGCATATGTAATATGGAAGTGATATATGTATCAAGTCTATCATGTTTGTTCAGCTTGGGAGTAAAAGTACTTATCATAGCACCTTTGCATTATAAACCATAATGATACAATCAAAGAGAAACCTTTTTTCAATGGAAAGTATTAATCATTGATTTTCCCATGTTATATATTCAGAGATTATTTAACCTTCTAGAAATTTCAGCATACTAAAGCTTTGGGCCAAATAAAAGGCTCTCTCAGCTGGGTTGTCTTTTTTATTTTTTTGTTTTTGTTTGTTTTTATTTTTTTGTTTTTTGTTTTTTTTTGAGACAGGGTCTCACTTTGTAACCCAGGCTGGAGTGCAGTGGTGCAATCACGGTTCACTGCAGCCTCTACGTCCGGGCTCAAGCGATCCTCCCACTTTAGCCTCCCAAGTAGCTGGGTTTACAGGCATGCACTACTACACCCAGCTAATTTTTATATTTTTAGTAGAGATGAGGTTTCGCCATGTTGTCCAGGCTGGTCTCAAACTCCCGGCCTCAAGCGATCCGCCCACCCAAAGTGCTGATATTACAAGTGTGAGCCACCGCACCTGACCTGAGCTGTTATTTTTTTCTATAAAAAACTTACACATGTAGGGCCAGGTGCGGTGGCTCACGCCTGTAATCCCAGCCCTTTGGGAGGCCAAGACAGGTGGATCACCTGAGGTCAGGAGTTCCAGACCAGCCTGGCCAACATGATGAAACCCCGCCACTACTAAAAATACAAAAATTAGTCGGGCGTGGTGGCAGGCACCTGTAATCCCAGCTACTCAGGAAGCTGAGGCAGGAGAATCGCTTGAACCCGGGAAGCAGAGGTTGCAGTGAGCTGAAATCGCACCACTGCACTCCAGCCTGGGTGACAGAGCGAGACTCTGTCTCAAAAACAAACAAACAAACAAACAAACAAAACTTATACACCTAGCTTCCCTACGCTACCAACCTTTCTGGGGATCTCTTCAATAACAACCCAGCCCTTCATTTGCTCAGAAAGAAATGTCTTTTAATCTGATTAACTAAAACTTTGCAGTCTCTTTACAACTTGACCATTGGCGGGGTGCAGTGGCTCACGCCTGTAATCCCAGCTCTTTGGGATGCCAAGGCAGGTGCATCACCTGAGGTCAGGAGTTTGAGACCAGCCTGACCAACATGGTGAAACCCCATCTCTACTAAAAATACAAAAATTAGCCAGGTGTGGTGGCATGCGCCTGTAATCCCAGCTACTCAGGAGACTGAGGCAGGAGAATCACTTGAACCCAGGAGATGGAGGTTGCAGTGAGCAGAGATTGTGCCATTGTACTCCAGCCTGGGCAATAAGAGGCGAAACTCCACCTCAAAAAAAAAAAAGAAAGAAAGAAAAAAAGAATTGCAATAAGTGCTATGAAGAAAATAAATAGAAAACTGTGATTAAGAAGCAACAATTCCTTTAGAATCATCATGGAAGGCCTCTCCAAGGCACTGGTTTTTATTTTTAATTTTCAAACTCAACATACTTTCATTTCAGTTTTATTGAGGTATAATTGGTATACATAAACTGCATATAATGAATGTACACATTTGAACAAATGTATACACTTGTGTTACCATCACCACAATCCAGATATTGAAACATATCCTTTGCTTCCAAAAGTTTCCTAGGAGGCACTGATGTTTAATCTCAGGCCTAAAGGATAAGAAAGAACTAGCCAAGTGAAGTGTTTGGGGAAAGCATTCCAACCAGAAGAAATAGCCTGTTTGGGTCCCTGGGCTGCGAAAGAGCTTGGCATGTTCTAAGAACAGTCAAAAGTCCAGATTGGCCACGATCGTGGTGAGTGACGGGAGAATGGCACCAGAGACAGGGTCAGCAAGGGAGGCAGGAGAAGATCATGTGGGACTGTGAAGCCAGGGTAAGAAGTCTGGGTTTTATTCCAGGTCCAGTGAAAAGCCACTAAAGGGCTTTAAAGGAATGACATAATCTGATTTTTTGTTTTTACAAGATTCATTATTGTTTGGAGAATGGATTGAAAGAGGGCAAAAGTATAGACAAAGAGTATAGTTAGAAGGCTATTGTAGTATTCTACTCAATAGATGAAGCTGCTTGTGGTGGCACACCTGTAATCCCAACCATTGGTGAGGCTGAGACGGGAGGATTGCTTGAGCCCCAGGAATTCTGGGCTGTAGTACAGTTTGATTGTACCACTGCGTTCCAGCCAAGAGATGATGGTGCCTTGAATTAGGGCGATAGTGAAAATGGAATTGAAGAGAAGACAATATACTCCAGATATATTTTAGAAATAGAACTGACAGGACCAATTATTATATAGTAAATAGACAACTAATCCCAGAGTTTGTGATGGGAAAGAGCCAGAAAATAGGCAGTTTGTTTAACTAGATACACTCCCTTCTCACTGACCTCATTTAAGGTAAATTGGCTTAAGCTAGAATCTGAATTAAATGGGCTAACCAAGTTTATTCATTGAAAAGTCACCTCCTGATTCCCTTGAAGCCCAACATTATCATGCTCATGAAAAACTCCAACAGCAAAAGAGGATGTGCAGATATGAGACTAACGAGTGTGGTGGAAAATAAACTTTTATCTTAGTAAGACAATAGCATTAGTAATAATATCTAACACTTACTGAGCACTTAGTGCTCTTCTATGTACTTTACATATACTCATTTATTCTTTAATATATGTTAAGTAGCACTGTATTATACTCAGCACCTCCACTTTACAGATAAGGAAATTGAGGCATACCAGGCCACATAGCTTGTAAGTGGTTGAGTCAGACTTTGAACTCAGTCCATCTCCAGAATCCATGCTCTTAACAACTACACTCTACTGCCTGTCTGTTAATTTTTCAGAAAGCAAAATCTTTTACTGTCACCAAATTTGTCTTACTTAATTTTATTCAAGCTCAAGCTATTCCTAGAGCAAGTTCTCAGGTCAACTATTTCATGCATTCACTATAAAAGGTACATAACCAATAGGCACTGATACTGGGGAAAACTGTTTTAACCAAGAAATTTTAAATTCAATTAACAACTGAGAATGAGTTTACTCACTTTAGTTGACATTTGAATTTCCTCAGATATGAACACCTCTTCAATCTGGACGGCATCTCTGGGAAAATATCCAAACTCTTTTCCTTTCTGTCAAAATGAAGAACAAAGACCATCGAGGAAGAATGATCAAAGCAATAATAATTATTGAACCTAATTTTGTCCCATGTCCTTGGCTTTCATCTACTCCAAATCGCAAACATTGACAATCAATTTCCATATAAAAGAGTAAAATCATATTTTGTTATTCAAAAGAAGAGCATTTATTTAAGGAACAAAGAGCCAAATGGTAAAATGTCGCTGTTTCAAACTTCAGAAAGAAACCTGTTCCAGTTACTCATTTTATTCCTTTTTCTGTTCTTTAACAACCTTTCCTGTCCAGGTCAACTGCAGATTTACACGAGTAGACCTGGGATATCAAAAGGCAAGGCAATGGTGGCGGTAGCCAAGCTAGATGGAGTAGTGACATATTCAATGTTTTCAGGATGTTAAAATCAGACAGGCGGTTTAAACTCTGAAGGGCCACAAATGGATTCATCAAGATAGTAAAGGTCTACAATTCCTACAGGGAGGATTTGGTTCCATTCTACTTTTCTGGGGCTACCTTAATAACAGAGATCCTCTTAACCCAGTTCAAGCAAGGCAGATTGTCCCCCAAGGGTGAATGTTTTACACAGCCACCCTCAGCCCATTTCCTAACCCTGTTAAAGTTTTAAAGAACATATTTGTTTTGGTCCTGTACTCCAGCACCTTTGTACCTCAACTGTGATTTGTCCAGCTCTCCATAGCTGTAACTATTTGGAAACTGACAGCCTGTGGGTCCACAGTGTGGTTTCTTAAACAGCTAACTGCATGAACTAAACATCAAATGCACAAAAGTAAATGTGCCTAAAACTTCGCCCTGGCTCCATACATTAAACATTGCTTTTATGTGGAACCATTATGTTCACATATAGTAAATAAAAAAGAATGCTTTCTTTGACTTTTGTGACATCTAAGATGCCACTTTTTGTACGGCTGCATTGGATGCCTCCAGTGAATTCAAGACATAGATTGTTTTTTCGTTTTCATTTTTTAATAGAGACAGAGTCTTGCTCTGTTGCCCAGCCTGGAGTGTAGCAGTGCAATCATAGCTCGCTGTAACCTCTAACTCCTGGGTTCAAGCTGTCCTCCTGCCTCAGCCTCCCTCAGCCTCTGAAGTAGCTAGGACTACAGACATGTAAACACCCCACTAATTTGTGTGTGTGTGTTGTGTGTGTGTGTGTGTGTATTCTTGCTATGCTGCCCAGGCTGGTGTCAAACTCTTGGCCTCAAGTGTTCCTCCTGCTTCAGCTTCCCAAAGCACTGGGATTACAGGCATGAGCCACCACGCCTGGCCTTAGATTGGTATTTTAAAGGCACCAGAAGCAGTAGGGCAAGTTGGGAACTGCAGAGGCCAGACAAGCAATTCTGGCCAGTGACAACTAGAAGTCCAGTCCTATAGCCCCTGATGGTAAAGGAGAATTTTTAAATAAAATCTACTCCTTCAAACAGTGACCACAGGGGCTATACAAAAAAAGAGGTCTGGTGCATATGTAATATGGAAGTGATATATGTATCAAGTCTATCATGTTTGTTCAGCTTGGGAGTAAAAGTACTTATCATAGCACCTTTGCATTATAAACCATAATGATACAATCAAAGAGAAACCTTTTTTCAATGGAAAGTATTAATCATTGATTTTCCCATGTTATATATTCAGAGATTATTTAACCTTCTAGAAATTTCAGCATACTAAAGCTTTGGGCCAAATAAAAGGCTCTCTCAGCTGGGTTGTCTTTTTTATTTTTTTGTTTTTGTTTGTTTTTATTTTTTTGTTTTTTGTTTTTTTTTGAGACAGGGTCTCACTTTGTAACCCAGGCTGGAGTGCAGTGGTGCAATCACGGTTCACTGCAGCCTCTACGTCCGGGCTCAAGCGATCCTCCCACTTTAGCCTCCCAAGTAGCTGGGTTTACAGGCATGCACTACTACACCCAGCTAATTTTTATATTTTTAGTAGAGATGAGGTTTCGCCATGTTGTCCAGGCTGGTCTCAAACTCCCGGCCTCAAGCGATCCGCCCACCCAAAGTGCTGATATTACAAGTGTGAGCCACCGCACCTGACCTGAGCTGTTATTTTTTTCTATAAAAAACTTACACATGTAGGGCCAGGTGCGGTGGCTCACGCCTGTAATCCCAGCCCTTTGGGAGGCCAAGACAGGTGGATCACCTGAGGTCAGGAGTTCCAGACCAGCCTGGCCAACATGATGAAACCCCGCCACTACTAAAAATACAAAAATTAGTCGGGGCGTGGTGGGCAGGGCACTCGTAACTACCAGCTACTCAGGAAGCTGAGGGCAGAGAGAATCGCTTGAACCCGGGAAGCAGAGGTTGCAGTGAGCTGAAATCGCACCACTGCACTCCAGCCTGGGTGACAGAGCGAGACTACTGTCTCAAAAACAAACAAAAAACAACAAACAAAACTGTATACACCTAGCTTCCCTCGCTCCAACCTTTCTGGGGATCTCTTCAATAACAACCCAGCCCTTCATTTGCTCAGAAAGAAATGTCTTTTAATCTGAATTAACCAAACTTTGCAGTCTCTTTACAACTTGACCATTGGCGGGGTGCAGTGGCTCACGCCTGTAATCCCAGCTCTTTGGGATGCCAAGGCAGGTGCATCACCTGAGGTCAGGGTTTGAGACCAGCCTGACCAACATGGTGAAACCCCATCTCTACTAAAAATACAAAAATTAGCCAGGTGTGGTGGCATGCGCCTGTAATCCCAGCTACTCAGGAGACTGAGGCAGGAGAATTGCTTGAACCTGGGAGGCGGAGGTTGCAGTGAGAGAGATTGCACCACTGCACTCCAGCCCGGGACAACCAGAACGAGACTTTTGTCTCAAAAAACGAAAAAAAAAACTTTGACCTTTGGCAGGCACCAAGAAATGACTGGGGTTGCCTAGCCATCCCAATATAAAGGTCCCTCAAATAAATATAAAATCTAATTTTAAAATGATGCATGCTATGTAAAAATAATTCAAGAATTCAAGGCATTTCCTCAGCCCTCCATCCCAACTATACTGCCTTCCAAAAGCCATCTTTTTATAGAAATATTGGAACTTCCCCACTAAACCATGACCATTTTTTTTGTTTGTAAATATGTTATAAGGAGTTTTTTTAATATATATACTGTGTTTTAGAAATTCTTAACATTTCTTTAAGATGAAAAGCAGTATCCTTGGCTGGGTGCGGTGGCTCAACACCTGTAATCCTGGAACTTTGGGAGGGTTGAGGCAGGACAGATTACTTTAGCTCAAGAGTTCGATGACTAGCCTGGCACACAGGTGAAACGCTGTCTCTACCAAATATTACATAAACTTAGGCTGGAACATGTGTGACCACACCCTGTAGTCCCAGGCTCATCAGGAGGCTGGAGGGTGGAGAGGATGCCTTGAACTCAGGACATGAGGTTGGAAGTTGTATGTGAGCTGGTGATCTACACCACTGCACTCCAGGCCTGTGCAACAGGAGTTCAGGCCCAGCTTTCCTCGTTATCCAAAGAAAACAAAACAAAAAAGTAAGAAAAAAAGGACCTTGGTGCAGTTGGGTCAGTCATTTATTCTGCATTCAATTTTTAAAAGTAGTTACTTACACTTCCTGCCCACAAATCTTCCCTTTCTCCTGCAAGTTTAACAAAAACAGATATCTCTTCTCCCTTAGTGAAGTTCAGGTATCTGCAGTCAGGTCCTCTGTAATCTCTCATGGCTGAGACTCTGCTTATTAAAGCTATGTAAAACATGTAAAGAAAAACACACACATTAAATTAAAATGTTATTTCTCCCCTTTCATCTTGCTCTCTTTCAATCCATCCTATATGTTTCCAAATGCTAATATCTTTATACCATTTATGGCCTCAGAAACCTACGTAGCCTTAGAGAGTCTAAGCCTTTGGGCCTGGTATCCAAGGCTGTCCATAACCTGGTCCCCTTTCTCTCTTTGAAAGGACCTCCTCCTATCCCTTCACACAGACTTGGCTACACTCAAGCTTGTTTATCCATTGTCCCTGGAACGTATCAGCATCATTCTCTAGTCTGTAGGAAAGGAAAAAAGGTAATCAGTTTTCTTCCTGGCACTTATCATATTCTAGGCATTATGATAATTGCTCTCATATTTTTATTTTATTAAATCCTCAAAACAGACCTATGAGGTAAATAATTTCATCTCAGTCTAACAAATGAGTCTTTAGTGAAGGCTCAGAGAATTGGTCACACAACCCCAGTGGAGCCCGATTTGCCCTGAGGTTCTTCTCACTGCAAAATCTCCTTCCTTATTCTGAGCTTTTCTTTCTGTCCTTTCCCCAGTCTAGACACCTGTTTGCCCCTTCATGCTTAAGTCATGCCCTGCTTCCTCTGTGAGGCAGCCTGATTATTCCAACCTACTCCGATTGCCCTTTCTCTGAACTTTAATATTACCTATTATCCTTACTAGGCTGCATCACTATTTACTGTTTCATTTAACCTGTCTTGTCATCGTTCACTAAAATTAAATTTTCTGAAGGGGAAGAAACTTATCTTACATCTCATTTTATTCTCCTTAGATGCATAGCACCTGCCCCCCATCCAACCCAACATGTAGTAGGCCCTCAATAACTATGAACAAATCACAGCCACATATGCCAGATTCAGCAGTTCAACACATGAAGTAATATACACACCATATTATCTATTATAATTATACTGACATGTGTAAAACAAGATATTTTTATTGTCATGCAATTAAAGTTAAAATAACATCATAAATTTCTATAAATTTGAATGTTCCCTTTTCAGGTTCTATGTCTGGCCTTAAGAAAACTAAAATGATGTTGTAATATAAAGAGGGAAAGAAAGACTTTTTTTTTCTTTATATATATTTTTTTGAGGCAAGGTCTTGTTCTGTTGCCTAGGCTAGAGTGCAGTGGCATAATGATAGCTGACTGCAGCCTCCACTTCATAGGTTTAAGCCATCCTCCACCCTCAGTCTCCCTAGTAGCTGGGACTATAGCTTGTGCCACCATGCTCAGCTAACTTTTTTGATTTTTTGTAGAGATGAGGTCTCACTATGTTGCCCAGGCTGGTCTCAAACTCCTGGACTCAAGTGATCCTCCCACTTCAGCCTCTCAAAGTGCTGGGATTAGAGGTGCAAGCCACCACACCCAGCCAAAAGATTATTATGACAATAAAACATCATCTAGCAAACTTCTCTACATATTACGTTATATGTCCAAAAAGTTAAGGAAGAATGTTTACTCAAAATTATTACTTATAAATTATTTATGTTTATACTAATAATGTTTTCCATTTTTAATCTTCATGTTACAAATTAGAAGTAATTCTCACAGCCAGGCGCAGTGGCTCATGCCTGTAATCCTAGCACTTTGGGAGGCTGAGGCGGGTGGATTCCCTGAGCTCAGGCTGGGCAACACAGTGAAATCCCGTCTCTACTACAATACAAAAAATTAGCCAGGTGTGGTGTTGTGCACCTGGAGGCTGAGACAGGAGAACTTGTGAGGCGGAGGTTGCAGTGAGTCGAGATCGTGCCATTGCACTCCAGCCTGGGCGACAGAGCAAGACTCCATCTCAGAAAAAAAGAACAAAAAGGTAGAATTTATTTAAAGCAACTCTTGATTTTACTGCGAGAGAAAAAATACATATTTATTATAACATAAAAACAAAAGGAAAAATAACTTATTTAAAGCAACTCTAATATATTGGGATATAATTTATTTTGCACCATAGAATAACAGAAAATTAGTTCTTAATAGAATGGAAATTAATTTCCATTTACAGTAAAAAAAAAAAAAGCTTTATATTCAATGATATAAATAAAAAATTTATATTCTAACCCTGGTTTCAGTATTTTTACATAATAAATAACACAGAAATGATTAACATTTGATAAAGTTTAGAAGAATAAATCATGATGGTTTGAAATAAGAACACTTTTTAGGAACGTCATGAGAATCAGAAAGTTCTGTGTGTGAAACAGAAACTAAAAAGTAAAAGGCTTTCGTAAATAAAGGACTATCAAATTAGCCTGATGTCTTTTTTTATATGAATCAATTAGATTTATCCTTTTTTTTTTTTTAATGGGGCAGCCTTCTGAGCCAGAATAGGCTCAGAGACTCCCAGATTTATCTTTAAAAATAGTAAAAAGGCTGATTAGTTTGTTTTCGAGGTATGAATTAATATCATTTTAACTTCTGATATATTTCTATAGCAGACTGATTTTTGCTGTTTGTATATTTGTATTAAATACTATCACAAAATGCTTTGCTTCCAACATTTCTTTTTTACACCAAGCTATGCTTCATAATGCAAATATTTCTCAATGATACCAGTACTCATTTTTATCATGCATGACCACAATAAGATTTTATGTCATTTCAGAGCCCCAGTTTAGGAGGAGAAGCAGCGGGGGAAGCAAACTTACTTTCACATTCCAAGTCACCACATTTTTTCAGGTCTGCCAGCAGTTTTGTACTTTCCAGACACTTTGTCAGAGAAATAGCCAGAAGAAAGATTCTGTGGACGCCAAGTTTCTCCATGCTAAAACAAGCAACCAGGAATCCCAAGTGAGGTTTAAGCCAATTGTTCAGGTTGTAGAGATGTCAGCCAAAACAGGAGATATTTTACTCTCTTTACTAAATATAAGAGAAAAAGGGTTGAAGTTTTAAAAATTTCTTGATAACTACATTTTTCTACCGACTTGTTGGTTTAACTTGAAAGACAAACACTGTCTGTTTCCAATCTGCAGTGTCAGGTATTCCTGTAACACCTAAGGGTTTAATAATTAACAAGGATTTTTAGTTGGACTAATGTCTTATAAAGGAAGCCCATGTAAAACTGTCTCACTTAAAGGTACCTTGTGTTCAAGACGACAGTTTTTAAGTAGGTCTCCACAAAAGCGTAGTTACCTGCAAATACTAATTTCAGTGGATAATGTACATAGTGTGTGCGAAAAGAGTAATAATTTATGTTAAAAGAATGGCTTTGAAATATCATGGTGAAAAGTATTTTTAAAAAGATTCCACTTGTATATTTAAAAACCCCTTGTTGTTACTATGAAGTTAAAACTTATTTAGTTAAGAACAATAGTTAAAATGTAGTAAGTACTTACTATGTTCCAGGTACTGTCTTAAGTAAGTACTTAAATATCTGATCTGATTTAACCTTCACACCAACTCTCTGACGTAGGTAATATTATCATCCCCACTTTTGTATATATAGGAAACTGAGGCACAGAGAGATGGGTTAAATCACTCACTCAATGGCACGTAGTGAATGGAAAAGAAATGTTAACCTAGGTACGATGAGACCCCATACTTATAACCAACCACTTGCTTTACCACCAAGAATCAAGTCATCTGCCGTGTAAAGATGTCACTCTGTCTGCAACAATACTACTCCAGAAACAGCAGGTAGAGTATTACTCCATGTTTTAAAAACTGTATGTGTATTTCTGTAAGTGGACAGAGAATGAAAGAAAGATACCTGAATAAGTGCTTCCAGGCCGGGCGCGGTGGCTCAAGCCTGTAATCCCAGCACTTTGGGAGGCCGAGAGGGGCGGATCACGAGGTCAGGGGATCGAGACCATCCCGGCTAACACAGTGAAACCCCGTCTCTACTAAAAAATACAAAAAAACTAGCCGGGCGAGGTGGCAGGCGCCTGTAGTCCCAGCTACTCGGGAGGCTGAGGCAGGAGAATGGCGTAAACCCGGGAGGTGGAGCTTGCAGTGAGCTGAGATCGCGCCACTGCACTCCAGCCTGGGTGACAGAGCAAGACTCAGTCTCAAAAAAAAAAAAAAAAAAAGTGCTCCCCACATAGTGGAAGTATATAGTGTAATTTCCGGTGGTATTTTCTTCTTTGTAGTTTCCTATATTGTTTGACTTTTTCTATATTGTTTGGCTTTATTTTTTTAAAAAGAAAGCATATATCTTTTTTGGTTTGGTTTTGTTTTTGAGACAGAGTCTTACTCTAGCCCAGGCCAGCCTCCCGGGCTTAAGCAATCCTCCCACCTCTCCTTCCTGAGTAGCTGGACCACAGGCATGCAGGACACAGCTGGCTAATATTTTATTTTTAGTAGAGATGAGGTCTCACAGTGTTGGCCAGGCTGATCTTGAATTCCTGGACTCGAGTGATCTTCCTGCTTCAGCCTCCCAAAGTGCTGGGATTACAAGCATGAGTCACCACATCTGGCCCATATATTACTTTAAAATAAAATAAATCAGCCGGGCCCAGTGGCTCATACCTGTAATCCCAGCACTTTGGAAAACCAAGCCTGGAGGATCATCTGAGGTCAGGAGTTCAAGACCAGCCTGGCCAACATGGTAAAACCCCATCTCTACTAAAAATACAAAAATCAGCCAGGTGTTGTGGCAGGCACTTGTAATCCCAGCTACTTGGGAGGCTGAGATAGGAAAATCACTTGAGCCCAGGAGGCAAAGGTTACAGTGAGCTGAGATTGCGCCACTGCACTCTAGCCTGCGAAACAGAAAGAGAGTCCATCTCAAAAAAATAATAATAATGAAAAATAAATAAATAAATAACAAAGCTATGAAAATCCAGTCATTTGAAGGTTATTGTCACTCAAAAAGGATCAAAATCCCACATTGGAAATTTTTGGGTAAAAACTCCAGGTCTCCGTTGATTTTCAGAAACCACGGTTGTCCAATTTCATTCTTTGGAAAATATTTGTCTAAGCCCTCCTTTGCTGTACTTTTTCACTGTATTTGGACATACCAGTGGGCATACAGTTGGTCTTCTGATTCTCAGGTCAGAACCCAGCACTTGTATGATGTCACGCTCCCCTCTAGTGCCTGACACAAATAGGACAAATACCTAGCCCCTGAGCAAGCTAAAGTAAAGGCAGGACTTTTGCTTTCAAGATCCTAAGTAAAGGAAGTTTGTTTGTTGCTTTGTTTTCCAAAAACAATGATCAGTAGTAAGCCCACTCTCTCAGAGCTAAGATTTTTATATCCTTTAAAAGAATCTGATAGAGCATGCATTTCAGGATCATTTGGATCGCAACGGAGCACTGCATAGTTGTATGCAAACACATACAAAAAGGTGTAGGTTAGGTCAGGTGCCTCACACCTGTAATCCCAACACTTTGGGAGACTGAAGCGGGAGGATTGCTTGACCCCAGGAGTTTGAGGCTGCAGTGAGCTATTGTCACACTGGGTGACAGAGTGAGACCCTGTCTCTATTTTTTAAAAAAAGATGTAGGTTAGTTTCTTAAGTACCTTTGCAAATCTACAAGCTGTGTTGTTAAAGACATTTAAAGAAGGATCGGCTCTTCAGCATCAAAATGTAGCTCAGGGTTATTTGCATATTTTGTAATATTGCATATTTGCAGAGTTATTTGCATATTACCAAATCCAGTATTAAATCAAGAACATTTAGTAATTAATGTAGTTTAACTCTCCTTGTTTTTGTATTAAATATTAAAGATAATATAAAGAATTTATAGATAAATTCAGAAGTAATTGACTTAATCATGTTCTAAGTTAACAACAGCAAGAGCCCAGCAAAATCTAAATTTGGTATTGATTGGCCTGAAGGAGATTTGAGTTGAGAAAAATTTTTGCCTAAGATGCTGGTCTGGAGAGATTTGCTCCTACTAGAAATGCTCCCACACTCTTGCTACTTAATGCACTCAGATTATCTCATTTTATGTTCAGATCATTATTTAAGTTATAATTTAACAGATATCTGAAAATGTGTTAGCACAATGTTGATGAACTGCCTCTAACAAAGCTGGATGAGGAGATGGCACATGAAAGGGAAAAGAGCATTTGGTTAAAAGAAACCAAAGTGTGACTTTCACTGTAAAAAATAGTCATATTAACTTAGCCAGATATTATCTAATTGCTGATGCATTTTGCAGAATATATCAAATTCATCAAATGTAATGCTAAATGTTAAAACTGAGGAAGGTGTCATGGTAACACAACTCAGCCAGGAATACTGATTTGGAAGGCCTATACTATTCTTCACAAACCATATGGGGAGTAAGAGTACTTATTGCATAATGCTAAAGAATGAATCATCAGCCAGCCATGGCAGCTCATTCCTGTAACCCCAGCACTTTGAGAAGCCAAGGCAGGAGAATCACTTGAGCCCAGGAGTTCAAGACCAGCCTGGGCAGCCTGAGCAACATAGGGAGACCACATCTCTACAAAAAAAGACAGATTAAATGAGCCAGACATAGTGGCACATGCTGTAGTCCTAGCTACCTGGGAGACTAAGGCAGGAGGATCTCTTGAATCCAGCAATTCAAAACTGCAGTGAGTTATGACTGTGTCACTGCACTCCAGCCTGGGCGACAGAGCAAGACTCTGTCTCAAAAATAATAATAATAATAATAATAAAATGAACCCTCAAAGCCACACATGTTCAGTACCTAGAGATAGAATCACAGAGCAACCCTTTCCATGAGAATATAAAGACAGAATCATGAATGCTGTCCTTCTACTGTTTGGTGATGTTATTTCTGATACTATATAGTACAGTCTTCTCTCTTAGTATCTCAGGTTTCCTAAAGTGGGAACATATTTTCTTCAACACCTGCCTGTTACTCTGGCAACTTATAAGACAGGGAAACTTAATTAGAAGGTACTTGGGATGATGAGAACTGATTAATCTAGAGGGATTTTACTGTGGATGAGGATAGAGCCTTTGGAAAGAGTTCCCATGGTATGATGTGTGTGCAGTGAGAGATAAGACCCAGGAGAGATTAAGATTTTAGTCTTGTGGGGAAGGCGTGGAGATGGCCCTCCACATCCCCTCTCCAAGATAGTACTTTCTGCCCACCTACAGGGAGTACGGTTAGTAAACAGCCTCCACTGGCAGCTGTGTCAGGGCCTGCCTCAGCTGCAGAGACCTATACCAGCGCCTGCAGAGACAAATACCCAGCTCCTAAGCAAGCTAAAGTGAAGGAAGGACTTTTGCTTTCAAGGTCCTACGTAAAGGAAGTTTGTTTTGCAAAATCAATGATCAGTAGGAAGCCTGCTCTCTCAGAGCTAAGATTTTCATATTCTTCAAAAAAAATCTAATAGAGCCTGCATTTCAGGATCATTTGGCCTATGCCCTTACCCAAGATCACCCCTTCCTGGGTGATCTAGTGAATCTAGTGAATAAACAAGAGAGTACAAAGGCAGAGTCATTTCAGCCTCATGTGGGACAACCTGATGGGCATTTCTCACCCAGAGCTTCCTGTTGGGTTGACTGAGTCTTTGTAGGGCCTGCACTGCAATTTGATTTCTCACTCTGCCCAATCCTGCTATCTGCCACTTCCTTTCATAGGTTTGATCCTTTGAACCCCAAACTCTATCTCAGCATCTGCTTCTAGAGGACCTAACCTCAGAAGCTGGTGATTCACAGGCACAAAAAGAGGAGATGACAGAACATGCACATTTTGACTTGACGCATCATCTGTGCTAGTCACTCCATGGCTTGCCTTTTTGTTGTTGTTGTTGTTGTTTTGTTTGTTTGTTTGGTTTTGAGACAGAGTCTTGCTAATTTTCGTATTTTTTTAGTAGAGACGGGTTTTCGCCATGTTGGCTAGGCTGGTTTCGGCCTCCTGACCTCAGGTTATCTGCCCACCTAGGCCTCCCAAAGCACTGGGATTACAGTCATGAGCCACCATGCCCAGCCAATGGCTTTTCCTATGTTTGTTGTTTTGTGTTGTTGAAGACCACATTGTAATTCTCCCACTTTTTCCCATTCTGTCTGTATCAATAAGAA